AAAAAAAAAAAAAAAAAAAAAAGAAAATTCCAACCCCTTAACAGAAAGTGCCACGGCAAGTGCTATCCTTCCAGAGGCTGCTTACAGGGTGGAACCCTGGCTGGGTGGGAGATCTGGACTGGGGACATTTCTTACCATTACTAGAACTGATGAAAACAGCTCACTGTGTGTTCCTAAACTGCACAGTGTGCTTTATACCGAATGCTCACGTTCCTTTGGGGACTCTGGAATTTCAGTGTGTGTGAGGCGGTAGGTCTCTAACTGATGTTTCTCAGATGGTAAAATTTCACCCCTGTCATCAAAGCTCATTGCTGAGAGAATGAAGTATGTGTCATGCGACTGCTCTAGCAAAGGACCCTTGGAAGCCTCTACCTGGACTTCACCCCATCCCCCTTTTCTCTTTCTTGACTTTGCCTTGTGTCCTTTTCTTCTACTAAATCACAGCAGGGATATACTGAGACCTGTGAGACCTAAGGGTGAACCATTAGACCAGGGATTGGTCTTCAAGACCTCAGCACATGGTAGAAAGCATATATTTCACTTAGGCATATAAATTTCCCAACAATGACCATTTTTCCTATAGGGCCACAATTAAAAACATAATCATCCTTTGAGTTCGGGGTGGCTAATGTCTTAGAGTTAGACCCACTAGGAAGCATGCTGCAGGACTAGATGACAAAGCATAGTAGTCTGCAGCAGACTGATTTAAAGAGAACTGGTTCCATAATTTTATAACTACCCAGGTCATGCTACATGATTGCAGTACGACTGAAACAATCCTTTCATTTAATTCAATTTAAGAAAGCATTTATTGCACAAATATTATATTTCAAAGACTGACAGGTAAATCAACAAGAAGGGTGGCACAGATTTTTACTGTATGAGGCTCAGTGACCTTTCTCTCTCAGATATGGAAATACTGTGGGAAAATAAAGGCTTGAGAAAACCCTGAAACTTTTTTGAATGTCAACAAAGTGAATTTCCAAATGCTTAAATTAATACATCCACAAACAAGAAAGATCATTCTCAGTAATGATCTGTAAAGCAAAAGATTTAATAGGAAGAGAGAAAAAGAAATGGGAAACTAGATCATATATGCTAGAGAATACAAAAGGAATTGGGATCTAACTGAAAACTAATAATCACTGACCACAGGTTAAAAAAAATGAAAGAAAAAGAAAATTTGCAAAAAATGGCTACTGATAAAGTTCTTGTTATATTCTTGAAATAGCAACGGCATCTCATGGAGACAAGAGAATGGTAAAACATAATCCCAGCCTCCAAATGCCCACAACAAGTAGAAGAGAAAAAAAAAATGAAAGCATGTAATATAAGAAAAAATGCATTTAAATGTGCCATGGGTTACAGATAGAAAAAAGAAAATGAATCATCTTGAACTTATAAGAGAATAGTTCGTTTTTATCATTAAACTGCTGATACAAAATAAAGCACTGCAGGATTTCAGCACAAAACTTTACTTCCTTTCCCTCTCATTGCTAACTCCACTTTACCCTGCATCTTCCTTACTATAGGAGATGGGGCTCCGCTGGGACCAATGGGTTGAAGAGCAGCTGAAGAATGTGTACTGGCTGCACAGATACAGAGAATCTCTAAAATTGGGGCTTAAGAGATAGTATTAGGGAAATGACTCGCAACAATCCAGATCTCAGCTGAGGAATTAACTGAAAAGGATGATAGCAACTGAAGCAACCATAAAAATCCACTGACTCCTAAGTGTGTGGAGCTCAGACAGACAATCAAAAATCCACAGTTAAAAAAAATCCATTCTTAGTGAATAAAAAGGGGATGAGTTTAACACATCTTTAACTATGTGGCCAGTACACGCATCGGTCCCAACATTTACAAGTACACATTCAAATCTATCATGACAAGCTGAAAAACCTTTACTTTGAGCCAAGGAAACAGAACCTAAAATCTTAGACTAAGTCAAAGATTATTAATGTATATGCACAAAACAAAGATACTATACATGTAGAGAGACATTTTGCTTTTGCTACATTCCATATTCAACTTACTGAAACAAGGTCCCTGGGAGGTGCCCTACCCCTGTCCTGAATCAGCTCTGACCCTTTTGGAGGAGGCAAGAGCTGCGTGACTCACAGAGAGCCCAGCCTGCTCCATGGCCTACAGCTCCGCAAACAGCAATGCTACAGATACCACACATCCTCCCAACACTTAGAAAACAGCATTCAAGAGCTGCACACTGTGAAGCCTTCCACTGGCTCCCCTGAAAGGTCAGAGATCAAACACTCAGCCAGCGGGGTATCTCTGTGCCTCTGGAGAAAAGCAGAGTACAGGAAACCACAGGCCACTTGTCCTACCTGTGAGACCAGAGTCCATCTGCCAGGAGATGGAGGGGAGGTAGGAACCTCCAAGCCCAGAGAGCGGTGGGAGTCCTACATGAGAAAGAACAAGAGTCGCCTCGAAAATGAGAATGTAAAGCTATGCTCAAGTGATCTTAGGATGAACTTGGTCATTATTCTGGGGACTATATCTGATGAGAGAACCTATCACTGTAGTCTCTCCATTCACTTGATCTAGAATGAGGCTAGTTAACCCCATAATGAAGGTAAGTCCAAGCTGCCATTTTTGTGACTCAAATAACAGGCTTTAAGGATAAAAGATGATTCCCTTTTCCAACAACCCATCACCTCGTTATCTTTTCAGTGAGACAGGGATTCACTTTGTAGTTCAGGCTGGCCTCAAACTTCTGATCCTCCCACCTCAGCCTCCTGAGTTCTGGGATTACAGGCATGTGCCGCCATACCCAGATCTCATTATCTTCTAATAGGCTCACTTCTCCATGCCCAATTCCTTTCCGGAGTGGCGTCATCCTTCCTCCACTGTAATTTACAGAATATACCCTCACCAAGTGCTACACAGAGGCACCAAGTACCTGGAACAGAGACAGCAACAGACATTCGTTCTTCATAATCCTACTCGGAAACAGAATCATGGCCCCCAGCCTTCCCAAAGACTCAGAATCACTCGCTTCCCGAGCCTTCTCTATGACTAACTTATGTATCTGCTGGTCAAAGTATCTTCCTGAATTCGACTTTATTTACTCATCTTTCAATCATGAGTTCCCTTCGGGGAGTAGCTGCCTCTTACTCATCTCCAGCCCATCAGCACCTGTCATTTCACAGTATCTGACGTATATTAAGTGCTCAGTGCGTGCAGGAAGAAGTGAAATAACAGGTAGACAGATGTAGTCTCTACCCTCACGGAGTTTATGCTCTCCTACTTTAGACAGACACGTAGATAAAAACATGCACTGCTCTCATTGGTTACGTACAGGGTACACACAGAGGCCAGACAGATGACGTCAGTGAGGAAGGAAGACTGTCTGGGCTGTGCTTGATTAGGTGACAGAGAGAAAGGGGTGGGTGGATTCCACGCTGAGCAGGCCTGTGAACTCAGGTCCAGGGCAGCTCAGGTGCTAGGGGAACTGCAAGAACGCTGCTCACACAGAGGAGGCAGCAGAAGGACAGGAGCCTGGGCAGGGGACAGGTCCCTACATGCCACCCAGGGAAGGGTCATGGCTTTACCTTGTGGGTGACAGAGGGC